AATAAATTGAATGTTCCTCTGCAGTTCTAACAGTATTTTAAAGTGTTTCATAAACACATAGACTCAACAGCCACTTTGTTAGGTACACCTGTTCAATGCTAAGTACACTCTGATGAGAGAAGTAGCTCCAACTCAGTACTAGCAAGGTGTACCTAACAACGTGGCCAGTGATAGTAGATTATGAACGGGAAAACAAAACGATATCTACATATCGACAGTTCTGCAAACAACCCCACCCCGACTCCATAAAACCAGATAAACAGGCTTCAGCCCTGAGGAGGGACATTGCTAAAAGCTCTCCATGACCTAAAGGGGATACTATGAAGCAACTTCAGTGTAGGAAGGCTTTCTTTGCGTCGCTCAGACATATGAGATTGTTGATAACCTCTGTTACCAACAGAGCTTGATGTAGAAAACCTAGTGCAGCTTCACTAGTAATCTGGGCTTTCCACTTCAGGGTTGAGAAACTTTAATAACATACAAGAAAATATCATGCCAAAAAGCAAAATGAGTGAGGTGGAACAAATCCAGCAAAAGAGAAACCGTGCAGGAAAGTGTCTTAATGCCTGCTCAATCATCCAGGTACGTAAATCTCCAAAAGTTGATTCTGTTCATCTGGACGTAGCATTTTCAGTGGGAGAAACGTTTCGCCACTCATACCAGGACTGTGCAGTCTTTTTATACCTACAGGCCAGTGGATACTCTTTCCATGATGAGGATGTACACATCCTGATGAGGAAGGGATGCTGGTTTGAACGGGGAGTCAAGGAGGCCATTTACGTGAAAAGGGAAAGACCATCTCTGAATCGAGGAAGGGTACATCTTACAAATGCTGTGATTGCACCCATTCCCCAAATCTGAATTGTACTCATGGCCTTTGATCAGTGGTTGTTGAAGAAGCCTGACGAAACGTTTCTCCCACTGAAAACGAACAGAATCAACTTTTGCAGAGTGCAGAAAAGTGTTCTTTTCTTGTGAATTTATAACTGATTAACAGCAATTAAAAAAAACAACTGGTAAGTGACCAAACATAAAAGAATATGTGAACATTTGCTGCATCAGTAACCAAACACCTGTAAATTCCAGTGACAATGTGAGAGAGAAAGCATGAGGAACCTAACTGCATGGTTTAGGTTAAGTGGCGTTACTAACGTACCAACCAACAGGTCTGCATATATAAAGTTCTCTTGGGTAGTGATCTAACCATGGTGCGTGCTTTCATTAACAGAATTTATGATAATGGAACTGGTTTTAAACCAAAACTCTAAACACACCTCACTAAGCCATTAATCTCACATAGTACACCCCCGGCAGGCCTGTTCCTGTATTTGTTCAATCACATCAAATAGGAGATATGTCCACCATAGTACTCTAAAGCCTTTGAGTTTAGTTGCACAGTGCTTATAATACATGATTGCTTGATATCAAACAAATAGTTTAAATACTGCAAGTTGAGTCATCCACAGTGGCTGGCCAAAAAACACAACTCTGAGGACTCTTCTGAAATGTTTTCTCAGTATTCAGTGTGTGTGTATGCACACTTCAGGCCAGCACTTGTCTCTGGCTGCACGTCAACAGGTGTGGCAAGAAGTATGATGCTGTGCCATCATCAGGGATGAGCTCCAGGAATTCTGCGGGGCTCATCTCCATAGCAACTACGACAAGCGTCTCTGTTGACAAAAAACAATTCTCATTAAACTCAAGTACACACACACAGGAGATGTTATTTCCTCATACTTCTAGTTTCTTTGCCAGTATCAGTAAGTAATTTCCTGATATTTCTTTAATTCCCATCATAATATATCCACTTACAGAAGTGGCTTGGGGTGTGCCCAGTCTACCCAACCCTGCTACACCCTCAGAGTTCACTTTGTTTAATCATATTGTAATGAATTGCTATTCATTCCCCAGCACAGATATCCAACACTTTCCCAATGACAGCAATTTAGTTGCTGAAGTTACAATTTACTGCCTGCATGAAATGTGTTCAGGGAACATCACCCTGAACACATTTCATGCAGGCAGTCAATTTTGCTTTTGAAAAGAGGACGATTGACGGTGTCTGTTCAAAACATGACTACACAGAACAGACAGACAGGGGGTTTGGGCTTTCTTGAGAACCACTTTTTCAACCAAGATGAATGACTGAATGAAGTCGCTTGGCACACAAAAACAAAGACCAAATGGTAAAATAAAATTACATCCAGCTATTTTTTTAAGAACCAGTTTAAGTTTTAGACCATTAAACTGATTAAACTGTTGAAACTGTTTGAAGATCTGGACTAAGATGACTTCATTGCTTGTCATTTTAATATTGTATTCTACAGTTTAAATGATTCAAATCTGTTCCCTGAGCACAGAATCCATTATTAATTACAGGTTTCTGAATAGCTGAGGATGTGACTTAAAGTAGGGATTTAATGTGAATTCATTTCATGTCAAAAAAAATTTCAAACCTGCCAGACGGCTTTGCCACGTAATAAAATTATAAGTCTGAACAATACAAGGTCATTAGTGAGTCATGACTGACGAAAGCACAGCAAATCCTAATTGTTTTAAACGAAAGTGAAAGCTCTTTGGAAAAATACCTCTACCTTTGAGAGCAGCCAGGAGGATGCTGTTGTCTGAGGCTGCTCTTGTGCGATCACAAAGCTCTGGGAGGAGCTTTTGCCACCAAAGTGCCTGCGGAGATTAGACATGTGATTGAGACGGGAGTTGAATTAGGTGCGAAATTAAAAATAAACTAAAAAGTGTAGCTACAGACTTCAAATGTAAGCCCCGTGATCAGTACAGACCATGTTTTTCTCCTGTAACTGGTGATTGGCGTAGGGTATGATCGCTTGAGGACATCTGTCCAGCAACTTCTCAATGCTCCTATCATACTGCCCCCTTCTGGTAGCGCAAAGGAGGTGCAGGCTGAAGCCCCATAAGGTTTCGTCTGACAGGCGCTCCAACAAAGGCACGACGGAGCCCACAGACAGAGATGGACCACACAGCAGAGACTGCACACACAAACAGGAACACTTAAAAATACAATTACAGAATAACAGCAGCTAGATTTTAAATTAAAGTCCACAAGAAGAAAAAGAAACATAAAGAAACATAAATAAACTTCTATATGTCACCAAGTCCACTACTGATAGCACAGATAAAATGTTTTCTCTTCAAATGTCACTGACCTACATATTTATTGCAACAAGTTCACAAGCCATGGAATGCATGATGGCCCCGTATTACTATAAGTTCCAGTAATGACCGTGAATAGGGCATCACCCTACGTGGAATGCAGCCATCAATTGTACACCTGTGCTTTGCCAGCTGAGACAAGTCAAACGTTTGTCACAAACAAAATGTATTTGTCACTGTGGCGGGGTGTTGTCTGGAGTGCCTCTGCAGGGGAGATGGACACACCTACGCGGCATTGGCAATCATGCCTCGCCGGCATAAAAGCAGTTCCTGACTGTCTTGTTGTAGTCGGTATGTAGTTGGCTGGTGGCTGAAAAGCTGCAGCTGTGTGTGTTTCAGAACAGCAACTGTGTGTGTTAGTAATAAAGATGCTGAAAAGCATTAAACTGTCACACACTGAAAGTCCCCGGGGGCTGAAAAGCGCAGTTACTTCAATGGCCAGTTGAAGATGGCTCCAAAAAACAGCTCCCAAATTTATAGCAGAAGGAAACATTTACAGCAACAAACAAAATAGATTTCCCTCTTCATAATGAATGCACTGGGGATATTTGTTTTGTTTTATAAAAAGGCATAAACCACAACTATCAGCACTTTCTCAACAGGAGTTTCATTTACTGCTGTAGGAGTACTGAGGGTTTTATTGTAAAAGCATTTAAGGGTTTTATTGTGAACAGAAAAAAAGGGGTCTCTTCACAACCGAGTAGAAGAAATTGTGTTTCCTGCACAGGTTGGGCAGCAATTCAGTGATGTCTCAGTGGCTGCATTAGTCTGTTATACACTAAGGTCCAACTATATTTGGACAATGACAAAGTGTTTTTTCTTATTTTACCTGTTTACTGAAATATCTTCCAATTATAGTTATATAATGGAGATCAATGGATTGCATTTGAGGATATCCACATTAAGATTGGATGAAGGGTTGAGGAGTTTTAGCTTGTTAACATGTTCCACCCTCTTTTTAAAGTAATCGGACAGTTAACTCAAATGCCATTTCATGGGCAGGTGTGGGCATTTTCTTTGTTATGTCATTATCAATTAAGCAGATCAAAGGCCTGGAGTTGATAGACCTGTTTTTTTTGCTGTAAACCGACAACATGCGGTCAAAGGAGCTCTCTGTGCAGGTGAAACAAACCATCCTTAAGCTGCGTAAACAGAAAAAACCCATCTGAGAAAGTGGTACTATAGTAGTGATGGTGTGATGAAGCCCCGTGAATGTGTCAAATCTTTCCGGCCAATCGGTTCACCAAAAGGCAGATCACACAAAGCAACGTTTAACAGCTCATTTGGATGTGCTGACATCTGCTGGTCATTCCATGTACAGCAGCCCTACTGTGATAATGCAAGGGGCTGACATAACAGTCGATATATAAATGTAAAGATGTATCAATTGGAGAATACCGATATGAGGTCCTGTATAATATAAATATATACATACATACACACACACCTCTTACTAACTATCCTCTCTGAGACTGATTTAAGACTTATTATTGGGCTATAGCATGTCAAAATGCCCCCTAACTGCTAATATTATTTGACCTTTTCGGTTGCTCCATAATTCGCTAACAATCTCCGTGCGCTCTCGTGATGATCCTCGGAATCACCTCAGATCCAGTTCATGCAAAAAACGAATTTTCTCCTCTTTTCAGCAGCTCCAATCACATAACAGGACACATCATTTCAGAGAGTCATTGGTCATTCGTCACGTGATATTCTGAAGAACCATACAGGCCTTGACATGGGCTTCATTTGGACACGTCCCCTTTACTCGGCAGTGCCGAGTGAGCTGTCAATGGCCATGAGTACCATTCACAGAGAGTTGGGGAATGGCTGCAATCACAGCATTGTAAGATGGTGAAAGATGGTGAATGGTACTCATGGCCATTGGTGGTCTTTGATCAGCGGGCCTTGATCAGTAGTTGTTGATCAATGATCGTGAGAATTTGCATAATTATGATGAAGGAACTGACCTCACAGCCCATTGTTCCTACAGTGGTGCTAGTTTCAGTCATTATGCAAACGTACTATTTATAAGATTGGGGAAACCTGCAGTTAACTGAGACTGAAGAAGTCACTTGGATGAGTGACGAAATGTTCCTCCCACTGAAAACGCTGCATCCAGATGAACAGAATCAACTTTTGGAGAAAGAAAGCACTGCTGAACTCAGCAACGCTAAAAGACCTGAACACCCACAGGAGACAACAGTAGTGGATGATCACAGAATCATTTCCATGGTGATGAGAAAACCCTTTCACAACAGCCAACCAAGTGAACAACACTCTCCAGGAGGTCGGCGTATCGATGTCCAAGTCTACAGTAAAGAGAAGACTGCATGAAAGTAAATACAGAGGATTCACTGTGAGGTGTGAGCCACTCAGAATCCTCAAAAATAGAAAGGCTACATTGGACTTTGATTAAAAAAAAAAAAAAAAAAAATCTAGAAAAGCCAGCCCAGTTCAGGAAAAACACTGTTTGGAAAAATGAAACCAAGATTAACCTCTACCAAAATGATGGAAAGAAAAATGTATGGAGAAGGTGTGAAACAGCTCATCATCCGAGGTAGTGTGATGGCTTGGACATGCATGGGTGTTAATGGGACTGTGACACTGGTGTTTATTGATGAAGGACAGAAGCAGCCAAATGAATTCTGAGGTATTCAGATACACACTGTCTGCTTCAATCCAAAAAAAAATACAGCCAAAGCAACCCAGGAGTTCATTAAAGCAAAGAAGTGGAATATTCTTGAATGGAAAAGTCAGTTACTTAACCCAAGTGAGCATGCATTTTACTTCTTGAAGACTAAACTTGGGACAGAAATCCCACAAACAAACAGCAGCTGCAGGGAAGGCCTGGAAGAGCATTAAAAAGGAGGAAACCCAGCATCTGGTGAAGTCCATGAATTCAAGACTGTCATTGACAGCAAAGGGTTTTCAAAAGGTTTTCAACCAAGTATTAGAAATTAACATTTTATTTTCAGTAACCTTTGAGCACCGGAAATGAAGGGATTGTGTTAAAAAACGCTTTAGTTCCTCACATTTTTATACAATCTTTTTGTTCAACCCACTGAATTAAAGCTAAGAGTCTGCACTCCAGCTGCATCTGAGTTGTTTCATTTAAAATATATTGTTGTAACATAGAAGTAAAATTAGAAAAAAAAAAGTTGTCTCTGTCTAAATATTTATGGACTTAACTGTATTGAATCCATGCAGTCAAAGCAGACTTTAGAAAATACCTGCAGTTTGTGCAGCGCCTCCAAGTGTTGGGAACTGGTAATGTCTGTTGGACTTAGAAGAATGAGCCATGGATACAAAGCACCGTAATGAGAGCACGAGTTGATCTGGAACAGACACAAACATGGGAGCAGCTGATTGGATGAAACGTGTGTCTTTAAGATCTGGTTATTGAACAAATTAAAAGAATTGGGGGGGGGGGGTTACTAAACAGAGCCGTACCAGGTCATCAGCACTTTTCAGTGACTTGCGCTTTGGAGCCGTGTGCTTTTCTGACTTTGTATTTGTTAGACGGTCGATGTAGACAGAAGCCAGCCGAAACAGAAGCTCCTGAATGACAGCGTCATTTGATGATGCCATGAGCATCGCCTCCCAGAAGTCGACCTGCAGGCTGTTTTCACAACGCAGCTCCTAAAAGCGTAGAAAGCATCAGATTCTGCAAAACTGAAATTAATTCTACATCCAAGTGTAGAAAGGCAGTAATACAAATCAGTGGGTTGATATACTATCCTCCAGGCACTGCACTTCCAGGTGCCAATAGTACCTTGAATATGTGATCGGCTTCTTCCAGCTTAACTTTGCTGTTCTCATGTAAAGCCACCATGGCAGCCACCAGCAGTCCAGGCTGAGAGTCGGCCATCTGGCGGGTTAAAGCTGTGGGATAAACACGTCTATGCTGGTTTGCACATCCACCATAGAGCAGCAGCCTCGGCTCCTCGATAAACCCGTACACTAGCAGCATCTACGCACAGAATGGAAAGGGACCAACTTTCTTTATTTTGGTCCATTTTGTGTGGAAAAGTATATAATATAAAAAAAAATATTGACATACAATTAAAAAAAAAAGAAGCAATATCATGTAGCAAATTTTGACCTTGCACTGCACCTTGAGCAGTTAGTACACCAAAGAAAACAAGTGAAATCCTGACCTCAGCGTGTCTCTCCATCAGCTGTGTGTACTGCTGCAGGTCACCCAAACGCAGCATCATGGTAGCCATGGTGATTGTCAGTGAAACCGACACGCCCACCAAGTCCTCCAGATTTTGTAAAATTTGCAGCGTCCGAGCAGGACTGACATTTATCATGCAGGGGCTGGTGCACACGCTTATGAGCATTACAGGCTCTGATTGGCTGAAAATGTCAATGACCTGATCAGCTGCTTCCTGCAGGGAAAGAAAGATTAAAAAGGTTCCCCGTCTCTTTTGATTCAATATTTTGTATTTTTTTGTTCCCTTACTAATTTCTTAAGGTTTGTTGTGCATATTTGTCATGTTTAAAACAAATTTTAATATTTGACAAAGACATTCTAAGTAATTACAAAATGGTTTAAAATGATTATTTAAATTATTAAGGGAAAAAAGCTGACCAGCTGTGTGAAAAAGTAATCTCCTCAACTTGTTAAATCATGCTCATTTAGATCTTGTGTACCTGACTGAGGGTCTGCTCTGAGTCTTCTAACAGGAAATGTTTCAGGTAAAACAGGAAGCCAGGGCCATAGGAGGAAGGGCTGCCCGGAAATGGCCGATTCCTGGACATGACCTCTGTGAGTGACAGACCAGACATCCTGTAGTACGGCAGAGCAAGGTGACACTCCCTCTGACCGCCCCTTAGAGAAAAGAAGAGATTAAAAGTTTTGCTGAAACAAATTTTAATAAAATAGCCAGAAAATACAAAAACTGAAGGTAAAGGTGTCCAACAGAGTAAAATCTCATTGACTGAACACATTTAAAAACCCATAAAATGTTATTATCAATGCAGAATGTGCATGGACCTTAAACTTTAAAGGCTAAAAATAACAGAGGCTTCATCAGTGCCCTCATTAATCATTAAATTAAGGTGTATTTAGGTTATTTTGCCAGCGAGTTAAGCAAGTGAACATATTAAGGAGACATTTTCTACACATTCAAAGGGATATTAGCCCTCTAACCTGCCTGCAGGAGAGGTTGTGTGTTACCTGCTGAAACTGTCTCCCAGCTGGGCACAGTTCTCCCTCAGCGCCTCCTCCAGCACTTGTCGATCTGTCCTGTGATCTGCTGGGCCACCTGGGCCCGTCTGTTGCTCGTCTGATGCGTGTAGTAGAGCAGCACGCAGGAGGAGGTGAGCTTCGCTGAGGAGGTGTCGCAGACTCTGGGCCTGTGGGTTGGTCTCTGCATAACGCTGACTGTACTCAACCTGAAAAACACACAAATCACAAGTGATTGCACAGCAGGTCTGTATTTGTTTAGTTTTTCATATTCATCATCAACAGTTGCGCAACACACAATTCGGGCAAATGAGAGTTACCATCTCCTGGTAGAGAGTAAAGGGGGGGACGGTGTCCACAACATAGAGGTTCCATCCATGTCCCGCTGCACTGCTTTCTTTGGTAGAAGACACTGTCCACCTCCTGCTCCTGAGATCAAACATTACACAGCAACATATAGAAAAATTAGCAAAGATTTTGACCATTGAGTCACAACATACACAGAAAGAATCCTGTACTTATACCCACCTTTGTTGTGATCTATTGTAGATATTTTAACTATAAAAAAAAAAATTGCCTTTACAGGACATCAACAAGACAGTACAGACACACACAAAGTAAACATTGCACAACAAGAAACAAAGAACCAATAAACAAACAAGATATTCCCAGGAAAGAAAAACAACAAAAACAAACATCCAAAATACACTGGATGAGAAACAAAGTGCATATTGCTGAAATGCAGTACTACATTTTACAAATTCAAACAAACTGTTAAACTGGGCACACACTAAACAACTGTCAGAATGATCATGAGGACATAATCTAGCCTATAAGATCTGCTTCATTTGCTCTCAGTTAGTTTTTGCAACCAATTATTGCCTGTTCATCTTTAAACAGGTTTATCATTTGACACCAACGAGTACAATGGTAGCCTGGGTGCCCCTGGCTCCTCGCTTAGTAACACTGCAGTAGGTCTAGATTGATACACCACTTTCCATTTAATTATTAGTTATTAATGATGTTTTTGTCCCGTCTTCCTCCCCTGCCATCTGGCAAACTGCAGATTATACCTAATTTTTTAGCACATTTAGATCACGTGAAGCTACAGATAGACAACTATGATCGTTTAGCTCTCTACATGCGCTGTGCTACATCAGTGGCTAACACTTCACAGCATAATTCAGCTGTTTGTTAAGTGTCTGCCCAGCTTTAACAAACAGTTAGTGAACAGGGTAACAGGAGCTTCATACCAAGGGTATGTTGAGGTGTTTGTTACACGGTGAGGGGCTTGTGTGTGTGCATCTGTGTCAGTCAAAGAGAAAGAGTTACAGGAATCCAGGAACCTCAGTGATAAAATTGTCTTTTTAGGTCAATTCTAACACGATTAGTTTGTGAGAAAAAAAAAGACACAAACACACACCGAGGGCAGTTAGGCAGGTTACCATGGCTAGGTTTAGAAACTAAAACAGGAAGTGCTGTCTCTTTTAGACCAAGCTGCAAAACTCACACAAACACTTTAATCATTTGGGTTTTTGGAGTTGGGCGTTCGTCTCGTAATCGGAAGGTTGCCGGTTCGAGCCCCAGCTCCGACAGTCTCGGTCGTTGTGTCCTTGGGCGAGACATTCCACCCGTTGCCTACTGGTGGTGGTCAGAGGGCCCAGTGGCGGCAGTGTCTGGCAGCCTCGCCTCTGTCAGTGCGCCCCAGGGCAGCTGTGGCTACAATGTAGCTTGCCATCACCAGTGTGTGGATGTGTGTGTGAATGGGTGGATGACTGGATATGTAAAGCGCTTTGGGGTCCTTAGGACCAAGTAAAGCGCTATACAAATACAGACCATTAACCATTTTTTAAACAGAAATGACTGACTGCCTACTGTCACAGGGTTTCTGAACTTCTTCACAACACATGCAACTTACTTGCTTAACGATCTTTTCTGCTAGTTCTTTATTTCTTATGAATCCAAAAAAAAGCGATTTTAAATTTTTATATAATTTTATATTTGCCTTTCTTTATTTTCTATATCAAACGGCATGATCACTAAGTTCTTATCAATGAAATAATATGTTGTTTGTGATTTTAGGTTATGCTTTTGGTATATTTGCATTTCTTTCTGTCTGTCAACACGATAGCTGGACAAGTTTTGAATGGATGCTGATAAAAGTTAGTAGAGTCGGGTCATGTTAACAATACGTTCAAATTCTGCCTTACATCCACCAAGGTCCTTAAAATCAACACCATGATTTATTGGTTGACAAAAAGCTTATAACTAAGAAACTATGATTCTTACAAGTGTGGTGTGTATTGTCAACATAAAGAAAGTACCGTATAAGTATTTAAAATATGTAAAATTTGACCTCTGACCTCTCTTCAATCAATAGATTGATCTGAAGGTTGCACGGCTTTAAAAAACTACGTTTCTTAAATAAACTTGTGATCAAAAATTAATTTTACTAAAAAATGAATTGAATCCCACACATGTCCTATATTAACATAAAAAAAATAGGTTTCAGCAGGGCAAATAACAAACACCTTCACGCTTTGCAGAGCAGCAAAAAAAAGCAAACTCCTTAAAGTACGTTTAAAAAGAACAGAGATATACAAATATACCGAAAATACAACACTATTACCTTAAAGAGTAAATACTGCTTAGAAAGTGACCTCCCTTGGTGGAGGTTTGTGTTCTTGGAGTCCTTTTAGTTTTTTAAAATGTTTTTAATGGAGTTCCTCTAACCTCTACACGGAAGCAAAGAAGAATCATTTAGTCTTGTAACATAAGATTAACAAGGGTTACAGAAGGGGACTTTATAAGGATTTCATTTGAGAACAAGAGTGTTTTGAGGGTCTCGTCATTGCAGCTTGGCCTGAAAGTGACAACAAGGACAGGGGTTGGATGGGTTTTGGGTTTGTCTTACAGTAAGGGGCGTGATAGAAGGCTCTCCAGAGCTGGCGTGGTTGCGGGATCAATTCCCACCGCCAGGAAAATACCAGTCAGCATGTTGTGTTCTTTCAACTCGCTATAATAACAACAACACACACGTACACACATACAGTAAACAGGCTCATAAATGTTCAAATGTTTGTGCGTACATGCATGTACATGCAAGTAACTGCAGGGAAGTATCTGAGGTCAAACCTGAAAAAGGTGTACAAAAATCAAAAGGTGTACAAATCAACATGGCGGCGTGTTTGTGCGTACAACTTACAGGCCCCTGCGCTGTGTGCCACGTTCGGTCTCCTCCGGTGTCTCTGCGTCGGCGGCAGAGAGCAGGATGACATGGCGCCCGTACACGCACATCGACCGCAGGCCGATGAAGAGCTGCATCCTGAGCGCACAGACCTCCAGGCTGCAGGGTGGGCAGGCCTTACAAACACACACACACACACGCAAATGTTAAATGTGTTCTCATTTACAGACATGTAATAACAATCCATACAGATATTAGCGCAACCAACTGGATCTCTGCAGTGAGGGGAGCACTGAGGCTGAACTTTCTTTTAAATTAGCTTCGCTTATTGTAAATGCCAGGCTCATACCTTCATGGTCGTATCGATGTAGGGGTCTTCAATCCTGGCTGCTAGTGCTGCACATCGTACTGTAAAACACTGCAATGCACTCCTACCAGCCACACAGAGAAATGTACTTGTAATCCACAAAGAAAGTAAGAACCACAGATTAAAAATTACACACCAACTTTTCTATATTTGGGTATAATTGGAATATCATGGAAATAAGGCTTGATGGGTTTGATGAAAAAGGTAATCTATCTGATGTTTGGTGAACTGTTGAATTTAGAGCCCTATTTTTTTTAAACCCGTGTAAAATGTAAATACACACAGAATGCAGGCTCCTTCAAGGCTGCAGACATACTTTGTTATAACGTGCAACAGGTGGTCTGTTAGCGCCGCCTCCAGGACCTTCTCTGGATACTGATATGCTGACAGGAGCTCAACTCCACCCTTCAGACTGTACAGGTAGCCCGTGGTGGGGAGGGAGAAGAAGCAGAACACACATGTCGCTTCATCGGGAGACACTGACTGGTTACCTGGGGAGAGAGTAACAATCCCTCAAAAACAATGATTGGGCAAAAACGCACACAAGGACAAAAAGAAAAAGGATTATTTTTTACAACATGAGCAAACTGCACCGAAATGTGAAGGTGCTGTAGAAATACCACAGAGATATTTCTATAGCAATGAAGCTTTACATGCACTCATCACGGGCATGAATGTCATGGTATGACACTTCACTGAAATGCAATGTTTTTTTAAAGTCATTAAGGATGCATGCTGTGCAATCATTTCACACTAGAGCAAAACAAAGAGTTCAAAACATCATTAAAAGTCCAAAATTACCATGAAATTCATGCCTGTGATGACTGAATGTAAACTCCTGAACATACTACAATGTCTCAGAAAAAAAAATTCCATTTCTCCTCATTTCAAAACAGATCATCTTGCACTGTTAACTCGACACTGATGTTGTACTCACCAGTGAACAATGGGTAAAGCTGTAGGGAGTGAAGCTGCATCTCATCCATGCTGCATCCTTGGAAGAACTCTGGAGAAAAGTGCCTGCAGGACCAGAGGGAGTTCAGTCAAACCTCAGCTGGGAGAAATATTCTTAAGGAACAAACTCAGAAGTGCAGACACACCTGAAAAGAACGTAAGAAAGTGCATACTGCCTTCCTTCTTCCAGCCCGGTTTTTTCAATGCTAACTGGGATGTCGCAGTCTTTAGCTCGATCGCCAAGTAACTCCTGGTGTCTCGGAACAACCAGAAAGTCAGCCTGGTCTTCCAGATATTCTGCTGTGCATGCAGAAAGATCACAGATTGCATGTCACAGGTCACTCCTACATTTGATAAAATGTCTCATGCTCTGCTGCATGTGGACAATTTCAAAGTATGAGCTTGAATGCATTTTTTATGTTGTTTTCTTAGTATTAAATCTGTAGAATAAAACCAAAAAGAATGCTTGAGAACTCTGTAAAAATGTCTAATTGACAGCTTCAGTAATGTAAGTCATATTCATAAAGGTCTCTGTACTCATCCCTTTCTAGTTAAATAGAAAAAAAAAAAATCACCCCAAAGCCACGACTTAAAACACATTATAGAGCATTTACATGTGTGCCGTTACCGTTATTTGTGTCCAGTGGTTCCTCCAGGGTTTGGGGTTCAGAGGTTTCATCCAGTTTTAATATCAAGACTTCCAGCTCTCCTTGCACAGCCACATATGTGTCGCACAGTGCCACCTAGCGGTCAAAATATTTAGGAAAAAAAAAACAAAACAAGGAAAAATGCTTAAGTTAGAAATTTCCCAGTACGACAGAAATTGTTCTCTTTCTCTCATTATGTAAATGCAAGCTATCCACTCAGAAAAGGCTTACATTTTTAAATATAAATAGGTGCAGTGAACATGGTTGATATAACAGTTTGACACAGTCACAGATAAAAATAAGTGAAGAAAAGCACCTGCTTAGGTGTGATTTTTGGAAGGTGCAAGATGACGGAGCGTTCAAAATCCAGGACGGAAAGATTCTGGCTGGAACTTGAAGACTGAGCTGTTGGTAGAAAACAGGCCTATTGAACAGAAGCTTTTTAGTCCTAATTCACATCTAATGTAAACTCTTTGCCATATGAAATAAAATACACACGGCTCATTGTAAGACATCCTTCTCTGATCAATGATCAGATGATGATTTGTAGATAGTTGCGATACAAAATGAGTGTTTGACTGAAAATATCTTAATAAATTAATAAATGTGTGTTTTTTTAGTTACCTTGACTCTGACCGCAGCGCTGCCGAGTGTTTGGCCAGCTGCTCTGAAGACTCCGATTCTCCTGATTTTCCTCCCAAAGAAACAAACATTATTCCAGTGTAACATAGTGTGTAGGTTATCATTGAGTCTGCTCATTTTCGATGAGAGACGTTACCACAACATTTGATCTTTTTACAGCCAGCTATTAAAATAAATGGTGTTAAGCTGCCACCTTAACAAAACCTTGTAAAGGTACTCATCACATTTGGAAAATACTTTAAAATCTTCTAAAAAAGAGTGCAAGTTACCAACAGTATGTGCGGGAAAAAAATCTTTATGTCCAAGACGTCATATTATATTGAAGAGATATTATTTAAAGCAGGGATGTTGAACATAAGGCGTGGGGGCCTGAATTGGCCCATTAAAGACTCCCATCTGGCACACAAAGCACCATATCACAAATCAGTACCACAAAATGGTGTATTGAATAAATGCAGCATCCATTCTGTCCTGAGTCCAGCATGAGAGGAAGACCAAAGCCCAACGGAGATGCTTAAGAAGCACTGAAATTAATGTGGGAGGTATTGTGGAGCAGCAGACAAAGGTTGAAGCACCTTGAAATCGACCCTTATCAGAGAGAAGCTACACCGGTTTGCACAAAAAAGTAACAAAAACTTAAATAAACAGTCTTTAACAAATTAAAGACATTATTGAATTGTAAATTTAAATGCAGATAAACTCCATAACGTCAATAAAGCAGGTAAACTTTGATTAAGAATTGAGTTCTTACCAGGTTCTGCTGGTTGTGTTGTCTCAACGTAAAGAGAACCAGAGTGTTCTCAGAGCCAACCAGCAGGTCTCCTCTAACCGGGCAGCAAGACACGGCAATGGGCCGCTCTGACAGAGGGATCTCAATAATCTCCATCTGCACTCCACCCCACACAGATGCTCCACCCAGCAAGTGGCCCAACAAACGAACCCCAACGCGGGCTTTCTCCTCTGCCTGAACAGAGGGCAAATAAGGCATTAACATATTTCCCAGTGTGTAATTAGAAAACAGCAATATACATGACAGCTGCAGACTGCCTTTGGTGGAATATAATTTGCTTATTTCTTCTTGCTCTCAGCATAATTTATCCATAACTATGCACATGTTTAAACGCCCTTTATACCATTTGCTTTGACAGTCTGTCTCTAACATAGATAAGCTTGGACATATGACCATTGAGACTAATTGAGGGTGCTCGTGACCTCAATTTGAAGGTTTTGTATAGTGTACTGTGATATGAAGATAACAGGACGTGCAGTTCAAATGAAGACAGCTAGCTAGAGAGCTAGAACAATCTGACAACAACATCTGACTACCAGTTACAAAAAATTCACAGTTTAAATCTGAGAGATAGTTTTTTCTTACAAAAGCTTATTATATTCCTTAGTTTAATCACATTAAAGCAACATAAGATTTATGCATAGAACCATAATTAAACTAATTCACAATGAGCCGAGTCAAGTTTGCCATTCCAAAGAAACGCATTGGAGATGATCTGCATCCATTAGAGCAGACTGATAGACTGACTGACTGATTATGTGTTAGCATCTATCTGCATCCATAATCTAGATGCTAGTTATTTACAAACCTTTGCTACGCTTTGTGAGACTGACCGCAGTCATTTCTAGGTGGACTGCAACTGCTTGGAGACAGGTTGCATACCACCAGAGCGAGGTAATCCTAGTTAAAGGTGGTGTGCATTCAACCTCTGGGCAACCAGTTGGTCACTGCAACTACTTGCAATCTGCCGCCGAATGAAAAATCACCTCGCAACCACTTTTTCCCCTAACCACAAGGAGGTTTCTGTCCTATTTTTACTCAAGATGGTTCTTGTGTACCTGGTAACGCCAGTTGGTGTAGGCTCTCAGGTAGGTGGCATTGTTCTTTTCCTCAATGGTCACCAGGTAGTCTCCTAGAAGTGAGTGAGCACAGAGGAGGCAGTGATAAAACCCAAGATTTTTCAGTGTCTAGAGTCTTTATTTTTGATGCCTGTCCAGTTTACACTGTCATCACTTGAAGCCATTTTGCTCACATATGGGAGACGGACAGCAAAAAAAGTGAATGTCAGTACAGAGGGTAGAGGAAGACAGGAAATGTCTTTACCTATCTTGCTATGCTGGATGCTCCTCACAGCGCCCATGGTGGAAAAGCGGCAGATGAGGGGGCAGCCCTCCACCTCCAGATTGTACGCCTCCACCTGGATTCAGTTCAGCACAACAGTGTCAGGCTACTACAAAGGGTTAGTTACTAAATGCTTAAGTAAGATGAGGAAGACAAAACATCAATAATAACCTTTGAGCATGATGTAATTCAAGTGGTCTGGAGCGAAATTAACTCGTCCCAGTGGAGTTAACGGGACTGATATGCCCTCAAATACCTTTGCACATCTGGTGGGAGAGGCTTAACACAAAGCTGACTATTTTATCTTATTTTGCCTCGCTACCACCAAAGTCATTACTAAAATAAATACATTTTTAAAAAGGTCACAAACTGTAAACATAAGCACATTAAAGCAACCTTGCATCCTCCAGTCGCCACCACAAAAATAGCTCCACCTCCACAGCAGACCAGTCCGGGTTCCTTCTCCACCTGAGCCACAGAGTGGGAAAGCAGTGAAGACGAGAGCGTAGGTAATAAAACACGGCTGACACGGGATCAGCGTCAGTCAGGTTTCACTTTACCTGCACAATCTGCTGAGAGGAGAAAGGATGGCAGTTGTAGACGTGCACCATGTTTGGTCTTCTTCTGGCAAGAGGACTCTGTACAAGGTGGAAATTTAAAACAAGAAAAACAAAACCCAAAACATTAGTTAAGGTGCTTCATTCTTACTTTATCTGTGCTTCTCAGAGGCTTCATCCATCAGGGTAAACAGGACTACTACAAGAAAAGGGATGCACTTAGTCTTAGGCGCTGGATTGTTTATCGATGAGGACTGATGCCATCTGGAAAGTTTTTCCTTTATTTGACACATTGGGCTAATTTGCATATATGCACATATAATTCTCGTGCAGTTTTTTTTTTTTTTACTTTTTACACATAAACATCATATCACACACACGAAAGTGTACTTCCTCCATTTCTTTGGTAGATATTTTTTGGCGTTTACTAGGAAAAGTTGTTGTTTTTTTACTGATCTGCAGGTCTGCGTCACAATTCAACTTACTTTTGACCAGTGAATTAGGCTAAAAACTCTTTCTGCAGACTTTCTCTCAAACTTTAACATCAGTCAGGGGGGAAAAGGCGAAACTATCGCAATTAAATCTCAGAGCACTGCGGGAACAACACGGTTGTAATAAAGGTAAAAAGAAAAAACACACTACAAACCTCTGCATTCAAGCCTGAATTTCTAGCCGTCCATGTGGGCCCGAAGCAGGGCTGTGGTCATCCCTGTGTGTTATTTCTGTAATCGATATCACATGCAGCAGTCTTGTGAGCAGCAGCACCCCCCGATAGTCTCACTTCACATCACATGAGCTCTTCGACCGACTATTTTCGTTCTTCTTACTTTTTTGACTTTCTACATAAAACATGCGACAGACGTTTTCCTTCGTGAAGTCGCTTTTCTCGCGGATTCTCCTCTCTTCCTACTTGAGCTTCGCTGCTGCAGTTTATTGATTTCACACCGCAAAGAAAGAGGAAGTAAAACGTCAACCACAACAATCCAGCGCCCGCCCTTTTCTGGTTTTGATTGGCTTACGAGCCTGCTTGTATTGCGTTCAACTTTTTTATTGGTTATCGAGCTGTCATAAAGTAAAGGGCTGGTTCTGTTTTGTCTTTTGTCTTAAATATTTGTTGACGTTTTTCATATACTTTCGTGACTTCTTGTAACCCATTACCATTTTGCAGATAGTATGATATATCATAGTATCGCAGAGCAGTTTGCCTCCTCCATCCAGCTTAGAGTATGAGTCCTGAGAGACAGGTCACCACTAAGGAGGATCCAGGGGGGGCCACTGGCCACCCCTCAAAATTTGAGGGTCGCCCGGTAAGATTGTCTTATGTTGGTAATAATTTTAATAAACGTGAACACAAGAGAGAGGAAGGCACCCTGCAATGAGTTGAAACATTAACTTGTTATTTATTCCTGATTATACAATTTTTGTCATTCGGATTGTGTCACTTTGCATGTTCCTCACAATTTCCCGGCGTCACCCCCTCCCCTCTGCTGCACCCCTGCACTCTTCTGTTTTTGGTGTGCCAACCCAATATTTTTAGTGACCCCCCATATGGCCACCCCATTAAAAAAAAATCTGGAGGCTGCCCTGCTGAGAGAGACATCTTACTTCAATAAAAGTAACAACTAAACTATTAAAGTAAAATAACAAATTAAAAATTAAACTTTAACACTGCAGATTAGTCTTCACAAGTGATCCCTACTATTTTAACGTATCAAATACAGCACCTTCACCAAAGCTGGAATGTCGCTGTCTAAAGAGAGTCTAATTATACTGTGAATGTCACATCAGCACCAATTCACCCATCAGTCAAATGTGAAGCAACACTGGGGCTGATTTATGTGAAGTTGCAACTCAGACCACTGGTTGAAAGAACATTACAAATGACACATTTTGTAATTATCAAGGATTTATTTTTACATTGGTGACAGAATTATTTTATTATGTATTTATTTTGTAACTTGTCAGATCAGATCAGTTTTATGTTGCCGTTTTAGGTGAATGGAAAGAAAACAGGTGATGTTATATTTTATAGAATCAATAATCAACTTCCAAAGGATGAAAATTAAATAAAAGAAAACATTTAACAGAACATGAACATGACAGCAGATATCCAAAGGGGGGCTACCATCATATCTGCCCTCTAACCTCTGTATCTGTAGATAACCTACAAAGGGGCACCAGATATAGTGAATCAGTGATTGATTACCTCTGTGAAATAGTGACTGTATCTCTAAAGGGACAGCTGAAAATATTTCAGAAGTCTTTTGGCACCATTTTACCTGATAATACATACATTTTTCTATTTCCTCTCTGCCTACTCTTGAGAACTACTCGTGGCACACTATTAACTATTTATTCAAATTTCATCAGTTCAAAAGACTCAGAACAAAATAATTTCCACATATTTGGAAAAGCAGTTTTCCAGATGAAATACATAACATACAGTGCAGATTAGGACTGTATACCAATAATGTTTCTATAGCCATTTAAATATATGACTTTCAAAGCTCAACGTTAGTGGAGTAAAGGTAGTGCTACTTTTGAAAGAACCATTTCAGTTTGTGGCTTTCCATTTTCCTCCACATGATGGCATCGTCCCTTCTTAAATACTACACGATTATTCCCAGTTGTTGCCCAGTAATATCACTACTTAGATATTGTGATGCAAAGAGGGGATCAGCCCCTCTTGAGGGATTGTTGCTGATTCGCTTACGTTTCTTGATGAATTGATTTGCTATATTTTGTAACTTAAAAACCGTCAGATTTAGTTTCAATCAAAAAGTGTAACGTGAGCTGACAAATACAACAAACAAACAACAACGCAGAACAAAAACTCACGTATAAAGTTAAGTGGTTTTAGGTTTTAGTTCAGTCTTTATTTTGAAGACGGAAGTCTTTTATTTTGAAAGGAAGACGATTTCGCCAGAAAGTAGCAGACGAAACATGAAAGTTAGGGAGACCAGGTGGAAACGTACATTTAATTAAGTTATTAATTCTATTTTTCTAAAAAAATAAAGTCTACAATGTGAACAAGGTATATACAACTTTAGAGTTGGCTAATGACTATTTGTGGGTTGATTTTGTTTCACCTTTTTTGTCCAGGTTTAAACCAATGACTATAGAAAACAGTTTTCTACAGTCATTGGTTTAAACTTAATTTGAAAAGGCGCCCGATTGATTAGCATGTAAATTATCAGGATGTCTAAGCCGGAATGCTAACTAGCTACTGCGTTCGAAAGTTTAAATATTTTACTTTTAATTTTGCTTACCTTTGCTCTTGAAAATAAATACATCGCAAATGGTGCTAACTGTACCACCTGCAAGTGACTCAGTAATCAAGTCTGCAACCCAATGGCCATAATTAGATTTAACTTACACTCAAAACCCCGAAAAGTCTCGTGTAACCTAAACGTTTGATGATATTTTAATCGGGGGTTTATTTAGATCATAATTTAAAAGAAATGACGGTGCAGAGAAACAGAAACGCCTCTAGCCTTCACAGCGGATAACACGCACACGAGTTCCTTTTCTGACAGAGCAGGACACCCTTTAAGTCCTGCTCCTCCACCCTCCAAAGACAGTGCTGCCGGAGGGCTTTTCCAGCCAATTAGCACCACCTTGATTTGCATTTGCCCCGCCTGGTCCTGCCACAGCATCAGAAGGTAACTGTAAGGTAGCCAACGAAGCGCCACTTTTACATGTCTTTTAATTGGTACTAGAGAAATAAAACGAAGACGCGTACTGTAGTTCAATTTTTCGTTGTCTGCTGCGGTCCTGACAGGTACTCCGGGGTCGGGGCTTTTCTCTGACTCTAGTAACTGAAATGGATGATACCATCTGCCCGCTAAGACTACACAGTCCCAAAACCAGGGTGCTGTAATCAGTACTCTGGCAGTGGGGGTCTCCTATCAGCTTTGCATTACATCCCCAGCAGATGTGCAGGCTGCAGGCAGCAGCCCGTCTGTGTCGCTCTGCAACTCTCTCAAGGTAAGACTGGTGTATGGGCACTTTTACCTTTAGGATTATTTGTTGCAAAAAAGCGAGAGAAATACAGTAAAGCTCCGGAGAGTCTTAACCATTTAAATCCCTTCTAATCGCTGCACTAAACTAGTGTGCATGTTTGAACTGCTAGGAGTTAAGACTTTGTGTGCTTGGAGGTGAAAGTGAAGCAGAAATGTTTTGCACTCACTTCTTTAACTTCTTTTACTGTTTTTCTAAATTGGCTTTTTAATGTAACTATTAAGTTACAATTATTGCAGGACACATTCAAGTTACATGGCATAAAAACTTCCTCACAAATATCCCTCAAACACTGGATGGTTTTGTTTTTTTAGTAACATGCTGAGAACATTTTGCTGCATTTAGCAAGAAAGATGAAACTGCAGAACTGCTAAATTCCACACAAGTAATAACTAGCTGTAAATTATCCTGGGTACATATCTGCAGTCATGTTTTATAGGCTAGAAATGTGTTGGCTCAGAGCTCATGAAAGCATTTCAGAGATTCAACCAGGGGTGTAAAATTAAACCCAACACACACCTTTAAGCGTGCAACAACTCTTTATGATATTAATTTAAATCACTGGCATATCAATTGTTGTCAGTCAAGCTGTTATAAGTATTGTCTTTGAGGGAAAGAGTGCAGTGTAGGTGATCCTTGACTGGAATTTGTGTACTTTTATGGGCTTAAATTACACTGTAAGTATTTTCCTCTTTCCCTTGAGGGTTGTAAAGATGCTTGTATTTAAATACTCTAATAAATCAGTGTAAATTTGCATCCCATAAAACGCTGAAATCAGCTTGGGAGAAGAGAATGAAAACTTTGAATGAAATGTAACTTTTGGAGGCAAAAATCCAAACCAAATGAAAGTTGCTGGTATTGTGGTGCAGTGTGATAGTAACTTTTCTCTCTGGACCAGTAGGACGGTGAAAGTCTTCCAGCGTTTCGTACAAATAAGATGTTTGCTGTTGTGTGGCTACTTAGCTGCAAGCCTGGCCTTGCTCGATATGCAGGTGTGTGTGATAACTTGATGACGTTGTCAAATTCACATATCCCCTTGGGCAGTGGTTTAGCATCGGCACACATATACGCGTTCACAAAATCCTGGCAGCTGCCAAGCAGATTTAATTCTGTTTCTTTGAGACAGAACTGTAGAGCAAATGGATAGAAATGCATAGATGATGGTAGGGAGGACAGCTGGAAATGAAAAGGATGCACAAACATGTCGTGAGGAGGAAAACACAGATGATGAAAGACAATGAAGAGAGGGGAAGTAGATGGAAAACAAGAAGTTTTTCAAAAAGAAAATAAAGTGAAAGGGGAGAGACTCAAAAGTATTTTTGCAGACTAAGAGGAGAACAAGCAACAAGAAAGGTTTTTTGATTTTGTCCTACTATGGTAACTCATTGACTTCTCCTCATCTGTTATATTTCTTCTGCTTCTATAGTTACTGTAACCTACAGATAAACATGTTTTGAAGGCGGCTTCAGACTTGTTCTTAAGGCGAGCACCCGACCACAGGGAGAAAATGATATTCCACATCACTCACATATTTATTTTCACACCTCGGAAGAGGTCGGGGAGTTTTTTGACTAACTATAATGTTGCCTGCATTTCAGTGCACAGTTCAAGTTTCAGTGAACACATTCAAAGCGAGTAAATTGGTGTTTATGGTGCTCACATTATAGATGTATGGTTTTTCTACTTGGTTTTTGATGTGCTGCAGACATTTATGCAGGTAAGCCCTGCAAAGCCCAAGTATTGCAAATGTACCCAGCATTGAGCTGCAGTGATGCAAAGCAATGCTGGCAAGCAGCTGAGATCAGTAATGGAAAGATGCATGCGTGGTGTGTAATTTGAAATGGGGGAATCAGTTCTGTTAGATGGCTGGATCTGCCATCTGTGATAATTTCCAGTTGCAAATGACTGCATGTTTGAGTTTACAATAAATACTGAAAGATGGGAGCT